AGAATAAGTTCTAATAAAGTTGATGCATCCACGGCTCCAGTAAAATCCTCAGAAATGCCGTCAGACGTCATAGCAAACTCGGACTAATTCAAAGGTTACGCATGGAGCAACTGACTCTACAAAAAAAACCTTAGTAATTGAAGACATTAAGTTAATGAATAGTTGTTTGATTTAAAATAAAGTTATTTATAACAATGTACTATTCTTTACGAAAAGATCGACAATTCGAATGCTTGTATTTTGCCGCCAGTTTGATATAACAGTGGACAAAGGAAGAAAGTTCTGATAACAATAGAACCTGTATTGAAAAAAAGCCAGAATATGTTAGATATTATACAATTATGGCCCGTAGAAAAGGTGAATATCCAAAATTGTCAACATGAAGAGGTTATTTCACTGAGGGCTGCGCCCTCAGTGAAATAATTTTTTAGGGTTGAAAATTTTGGATATTCGTCGCTTGTTAGGGGCCACACTTGTTTTATTATACCGAACTAACAGTGGTAAGGCCTTTTGAACCATTAAAAAAGTACTTAACTTTAGTAACGAACACAAATTAACGTTCGAAAATAAAGTTGTGTCTTTGAATTTCGCGTATGTACAACAAAGGTAGAATCTTTTTGTAGGATTTGTGGTGTAAATTTTTAGGGTTATTCGTCCTTCCTTGCAATTAAATGAAAATTAACTGAATTATTCCATGTCACGTGATAACGTGTTACCCAATAGAATTGCTTATATCATATGTAAGGTATAATTACAGTAATTATTAATTACACATTACGCATTTAAGGGTCTGGTATAGGTAAATTTGCATACCATACATATGTTATGTACGACTGATGCCTTCTTTGCATCTAAGTTCCTAGCGTGAATAATTGTGACTATTAAAATCGAAGAAAGTTTGTGTCAAATAAGTGTTAAGTATGTGAAAAGATGCAAATTTGAGAACAACATGTACACACTAAACTAATTCTCTTTCAGTTTGAACCTTCGCTCCCAAAAATACGCAAATTTGTTTGATAAGTATTACTAATGGATTTTTCTGGCGATTGACTAGCAATTTTGATACTTACCGGCCTCTTACAAATACTACGGAATGTTGTTTCTGAAGTTTTTCTTGTGTGGGAGTATCCAACCAAAAGTTGAAGCTACCTTTTCTAGCTTTCTATGGTGTCGAGCACATTTTGACCATGTTTTCGAAATAATGGGTTAATTTTTATCTCCTTCAAACTATAGGTGGTTACCCAGTTTGTTGCTGTATTGTGCAAGATTTTTGTTGAGTTTTCTAGATTAACGTCTTTTTATCTGGAATGACAAAGGGGTAAATTTGTGCGGATCTAAAATTGTTTTCACCCCATCATATGTTGTGTTTGTACCCAGTCAGGTTATCTTGACAATGTGTTATCCGATTCGTTTTTGTTAATATTTGTTTGAACGTCTATTGTTTTGGAGTTGGGTTTAAGTAGTTGTTGTCCCATATTGAACTGTCTGGTATTTTTGGTGATATCTGTTATCCTTGTTTTAATTACTAGTATTCAGATCATACCAAAGGCTACCAAAATGCGCAAAGGGTTGTCAATATATCAAATATTTAAAGAATACCAAAGCCAGTAACAGAACGAACAAAATCATCTAAGGTCACCTTTGTTGTTGGGAATTGCAAACTTTTTTAAGCTTTAAACTGAATATTTATCGTTAGAATGTGACATTAAACTCATTCAAGTACTTTTGGGAGCTGACAGTCAACCAGAGTGCAACTGACCTATTGATAGAAATATACAGGTATATACCACTGATAACTAAAATGTGTTTGCTAAAAGATGCAATTGGCACATCCCCATTTAATGTCAATCAACAGTTTTGCCGTGTACATAGAAGTTTTCCTTGCCGTCCCTCAGTTCATAATATATATTGAAAGTAATAATCATAGTATCTGAGACAAGGTCATAGATCGTCTCTTTGAGGACTCTCACGGTATAGATAACAGAATTATGCAGACATGAAGTCAGGTAGTAGCATATGTTACACTTATTTGTTAATTTATTTATTAATATATTTATCGGTATTCTTATTCGATTATTCTATTTTTTTCAATAATGTTAATTTTAAACGTATATATAGGTATATCAGTTGGTACATGTTTTCAAATTTAATGGTATTTTAGACTGTTTAAAAGTTGTTATAACCAGTCAAAATTTGACTTGTGTTTTTCAATCATTTTGCATTTTTTCATGTATTAGTTTTTTGTTTTACTTTCCTTTTATGCATTCTGTTGACTTTTTAAATTAATGAAAACAAATTTAAAAATGTATAATGCATTTAAACGATAACATGAATTACCAAAAACTATTAGACAAGACAACTGACCACACCTACCACCAGACTCTTTCAATACATGATTTTTTAAGGATGTACTTAGGTCAGGTTTAGGAATTTTTGTCAGATGTTCGGACTCCTTGGTTTTTTCCTACGATACAAGGTAAAATATTTTGCCCCATAGCACCCATTTTTCTGTTCATATAAGCCTTCAATAGCTCATAAAAGGTCATTTACCAAAATTTAAGCAGATTCTAGTTTTCTTTTCTTTCGATTTGAGACCCAAATAATACTAATGCAAATATAAGGTAAAAGTCACAGTCAGCCATTTCCCGCCATTTTTTAAAGATTAAATATCTCGAAAAGGAGCAATATTTAAAGCTTATTTTGTTCCTTAACTAATGCTTTTCTGACTTATAGTATCAATTTTAAATTCTAGATTTTTTTAATTTCACCTAAGTACATTCTTAAAATGCGTTACAAGTTAACAATCTATCACCCTATTGTGCTTCTCGATAATGACATTTGTAAAAATTTTAATCCTGGTATCTATGATAAGTTTATCTACAATACGTACCTCTAATTCAAACAACACTATTTACAATATTGGCATTTGGAATATCTTTTAGCTCGCCGTTGTGACATATTTCATATCACCATGCTGGAGCTACTTACATTGCTGATAATTTTGCCGGCTGTTGCAATTGCTGCAGATATATCGGTACCTATGACTCAAATTCGCGACCAAGGTAATGGACAATTCGAAGGTCACTTAACCTTTGCCCTCACGGAAGAAGTAGTGGGATGGGAAGTCGTAGTAACATTTTCTGCTCCAGTCACAGGTCTATCTGTAAGTACCTTGTTAAATCATCATAAATCTTTTGGTAAGGCATAGACCATTCATTTTTGTTATGGTGGGCATCTATTTCCCCCTAATCTGTGATCGAGACAAACTATTTTTTCACATCCCGTCTGAAACAAATTTAAAAAAAATAATATTCAGGAAATTTAGAATCAAACAATGTATTAAATAACAAAATTTGACCCTCGCAAAAGATGAATGAGCGGTGCCTATGTATCATAAAAAGTAAAATAACAAAAATACCGAACTCCAAGGAAAGTTCAAATCGGAAAATCCCTTATCAAGTGGCAAAATCAAAAGCTCAAATACGTCAAACGAATGGAAAACAACTGTCATATTCCTGAATTGGTGCAGGCATTTCCTTATGTAGAAAATGGTGGATAAACCTGGTTTCATTGTTTTACTTTTGTGTGATGAAAGTCGCTAAAGAGTGAGTAATTGGTACTGTTTCCAATGCCAGCGTCGTCAAAAATTGTTTCAGTTATAATAATGTCACATATGTGATAGCATAATTCTGTGTCAACAGTTTATTAAGTCGCATGTCTATATCATGTATATCAGCTTTCTTATTTGGCCAAGGATCAGTTTGAAAATACTAGCTAGTTTCTTCTTTTAAAACAATATTTCAATTGGAAAAACCGTAAAGTTGAATCATCTGAAGATGTTTCATATTATACCTCCACTTTAAAAGTTAATACTATATCGAATTTGTCTTGTTCGTCCGTACATACTTCTGTTCGTCTAACATATATTTCCGTCACACTTTTCTCCAATCCTTCTGAAAAGAAAGATTATAAACAGCTCAAAATGTTGAGTTGTAATCGGTTGGCTCTTTCTCGAACAGTTGGATACATAATTTCTGTTTTCCGATAGTTTGAATACGTATGGATGTATGCTAAGAACGACAACACGTGTATTCTTGTGGATTTAAGTGACGATATTGTGTTTTTTGGGCCAGCATGAATTTCCAATATTCTATTTTGACTACCAACGGAAGTCAAATTTCGAAATGCGACTATGGTTCCTAATATATTAAAGGTAAGATTGGAACTGAAATAATTTGGAGGTTTGGCTTAAAATCTGTGTCATCCAACAGCTTAATTTTTAAAGTTTGTGTACCAAGTTAGGACCAAGACGTTCATTGATTTAAATTTTCAAATAATAACCTTTAGAGGCGATTTTGATTACAAAGATCTGCCAGTATATGACTTTATTTTTATGTACTTTCTACTTTAATAAACTTGTTATTTGCTACTTATTCTATGTCTTATATATTGTTATTTTGTACAGTTCATATAATTGACTTGTTGCTTGCGGTTAAGGCACAGACCATTGGTCATTCGTGGGGGTCATTGGTTTCGTATTCTCAAGAACCAAAATATACTGGTTTGTTAATATCATTGATCGGTCGACTTAGGGAGAAAATAGATAGGTTTGTTATTGTTACATTGTCTATGTAAGAAGGACGGTTAACAAGAAAGCAATCATTTCTACCATCTTAAAATGTTCCGCAAGCACAGTGCTGATATATTTACAAGTAAACAAATCCACTTACAATGATTGCTTTTGTCTAACCAGAACCGGAAACGTAGGAAATGTGAATCATCGTAGCGTATGACAACTATAAAGTAACAAAAAGTTTGATTTGGCGAATTTTTGTCAAATTTAATGGGTATAGTTTCCACCTGATAAAGACCTATATATTAAAGGGTACCGTTTGAGTTTTTCTTCGATAATAGATTGGAGTTGATATTCTTTTACATTTGTATTTTTTTTTTCATATTTCCAAACTTTTTCTCCAGATTAATTTTCGTTTTAGCAATGGATGGGAACGGAAATTCGTCATTCAGCCGACAACAAAGTCCATTACATAGTAAACCTAGATTACAATGGAATTCAACATGCCGGAACTACATTTGATTTAACAGTTCGAGGAACTGCTGCAGGTGGAAGTGCACCTACTGCAACGGCAGTTTTGAAAAATATGGGAATTGATGGGTTTACAGTTCCACCAATAATCAACAGTAAGATACTGAACAAAACCTGTCTACCACTGCATCAACGTCCTTTTCTGGCAGTGAAGATTTGAAATTTAAAGCACGAGCCCTTGCGATTCGTTTAAATATTAAAACATTGCTGTCGAGAGGGGGTATGGTATCACACGAGATACGTTGATGGTTTAATTCTTTCTCTCTTTTGTTTTTTTAGATCATATGTAGGCAAATTTTTATTGTCCTTTTTCAATAACATGCAAAAAAGAGTGTTCTTATTGTTGTGTGTAAACAGAAAATAGATCGAAAATTTATGAATACCTCTCCAAAAGTATCCCCGAGGGTATCATCAGCTCAGTAGTCAGTACTTCGGTACTGACATGATTTGTAACAAACCGTTCTAAAATTGTCCGTTAATAAATTTTGAAATTATTAGAAACTAAGGTTTCAACTCCCTCAGGCAAAGTTGACCTTATATTTAAGTCCTATATGGTAATATAGCTATTCAACTGTTTAGATTCTTATACATCCTTGCCTTTCAAATATTCGGCAGAATTTTGTAATACAATATAAGAAGATACTTCTAGATAGGAAAATGTGGTTACCATACACCACCTCTTGCTACATTACAAAATAGAGATGCTATAACGAAATTTAGATTTCAGATTTAGCTCCCTATAAAAAGAATAGTTTTGATATTTATTGTATCTAATAAGAACATTTTATTTATTTAAAGAACAAAATATTACTTTCAGATAAAATGATATGAAAAATCTAATAAATGCAAATGAATAGATCTCACATGAAACTTACGTTTCGATGACATTCCAATTGCAAAGTCAGAAAAAGGCAAACAAATTCGACATCAAAATTGAATTTACCAAGGAAGAAATGGAAACAACTGACCCACATATTTATCATTCGTGTATTTGGAAAGTTGTTGCAAAACGTATTTCTTTGGTTGTAACTCAGCATTTATTTTATAGGCTAATTGATCGTAGAAGTTAAAAATTGGTTTTAAAAATAGCAAAAAGTAAAATAACAAAAATACCGAACTCCGAGGAAAATTTAAAACGAAAAGTCCCTAATCAGAGAGAGAGAGAGAGAGAGAGAGAATCAAGAAAACCAAAACTCTACACAGAAAACTAAAGATCAGGGGACATTGTATAATATATTACGTTTTATATATATATGTATCTAATTTTCCTTGTTGTGGTATTTCAGGTGACGGAACTCCTTATAATTATGATGAAGTTATCAAAAAATCTATTTTATTCTATGCCGCACAGAGATCTGGAAAACTTCCGGCAGACAACCCTATACCATGGCGAATGGATTCTGCATTACATGACAGTGGAGACAATGGCGAGGATTTAACTGGTGGATGGTATGATGGTATGATCTGTTTATTTATTTACCTACTTTCGGAATTTATTTTTCTTTCAATGCCCCACAATTTCAAATTTGATTTTCATGGCCTTCCAAATGTTTTGATTCGATCACCAATGATGAGTTTTATGAAGACGAATCGTTCATCTGGCGTAACAAATTATATGTCTGGTATTTTTGGTGAATTTTTTTTATTTATTCATTTATTCATTTGTTTATTTATTCATTTTCATTATGATTTATTTATCTATCTATCTTTCTATGTGGAATATGCGTCAGTTAGACTGCAGAAAGTTATATTTCTTATCCGATTTTAATTGATACATAATTATTTTGCTTGTAAATCTCCAGTTCAACATATTGTGTAAGTATGCTAAATCATGGCGACTGTTGATTACCAATGTTCAAAATTCGTTTATCGATTAGAAAAACACACTTCCAGGTAACAAACAAAACTGAGGCAATCGCATGAACTACAAACGGAGCAAGACTGGATGCGTCGACATGGTAAGCATCTCCTGGTATGCATAAATCATGCGCCATGCGCATTCACATGTCAAGAACGGGAATAGGAAACAGTCGTTAAAAGTATATATCAGACGACTATAATTGCATCTAAAAATCAAAGATGCAAACATGTCGCCAGTGAGTTGAGACACCGACACGTCCTTTAGGTCAAACAATTCGTGATGGTGACGGTTACACTTATGTAGTGTCAATTTCAGTCGTTCTTCCTTATAATTCTGTTCGAGAAGTTTTGTGTAAGGGAGAATCTGGCTTTGCAACACCTTCAGCGAAAATTGACCTTAAACGGTATAGTTTGTATTTTTTATGGATCGTTTAGGTTTTATGCACTCAAATGATTTGTATTTTTGACTTTCAAAACCTTTCCCGGGCGAACGTGATAAAGCAGGTAACACGCCCTATGCGCATTCAAATCTTATTAATTATGCCCCCGCCGCTAGATTAAGGAGGCATTAAGTGTTACCCTTGACCTTCCGTCCTTCCGTCATTCCGTCCGTCTTTTTGTCTTTACCTCCGTCCTTCCCAAAAGTATTTTCACATATTATAAGCAAGCTTTAGTGGGGGCATTCATGTCCTCAGACACATTCTTCTTTTATTTATTTTAGCTGGAGATAATGTTAAATTTGGATTTCCAATGGCAGCATCAACCACGTTGCTTTCATGGAGTCTTCTACAATACAAAGATGCTTACCAGGCCAGTGGACAACTTGATGCTATGTACGACTGTATAAGATGGCCTCTAGAATGGTTGATTAAATGTCATACAGGAACAAACGAACTTTATGTTCAGGTATATAAGTTAAAAATTGTAAAATTGATATTTTAAGAAATATGTGAAATATGATATATAATACACTAGCGAGATTTGGAAAAAGAAACTGTTCATTTTGCAATTTAAAAAATATGTTACCAGCTTATACCTTAATAGGTTTATATTTTTGGTAAATTTAAAGAAAGTTTATGTAAGAATGTGTGTTATTCCTTTTTTCAAACCGCGTATACATACGTAATCGTTTATAAACACATGTTACTGTTCCATACGTTGTTCAATCATATTATCAATCAAATAACGCTTCGAATTCGTTCCTCATTCTTTATGACAAATGTTTTCATTTGTTGAACTCAATCAATATCATTTTCGGCCGAGCACTACCGGTATCGCTTGATTTTGACTTCCGGTAACAATAATAATCTGGATTATGTGACGTCACTAGAGTACGTCATTAAAATGAACAATATCCGATGAAACACTAAATAACACATTAACATAAAGACAAAACAATGTTTGGTTATTTGCGCACAGTGTCAGTGAAATAAGCGACAACTGTATAGTATCTTATTGACTGTCGTTTGAGGCACAGTTTTATGAAAGACAGTTTATTTTTCCGTAAATATAAAGCAGTAAAATTTCAGCACGATTTCTGTTTCTTTCTTCTTCTTTGGTAACATTTCGACTCATGCAATTACATTATTGAATGCTTTAATTTATTTATCTGCTGCTGATTGGTTTCGAGTCCATTGCCAATTAAGAAGTTTAATTTCATGTGTGTTTACGAATTTATCTGAAAATATATGAATTTTGTTCTGGTACAAGTTAGACGAAACGTAAGTAAAAATGATCCAACAACCATGGCAAATACCATACAAGTATGTCACAAATTTTTGATCCGTTTATGTATAAAAATAAGAAGATGTGGTATGATTTCCAATGAGACACCTCTCAACTTGAGACCAAGTGATATAGAAGTTAAGAACTATAGGTCACCTTATGACATTCAACAATTAGCAAAACCGCATAGTATGCTCTGAAAGGCCTCGAAATGACAAACGTTAAATCATTCAAACAGGGAAAGCAAAATGTGGCGGGATTAAACATGTTTGCGGGCGCCAAATCCTCCTCTAACCTGGGACTTATGAACAAACAATAAAAATCAGTATTATTTTCATAAACCATTCCGTTAACATTAATATAGTCATTGAAAGTTACTTTTCCATTGGAGGAGTTTCTATGTTACGCAATTGTTTGACAGAGGTTTTATGAAGATCGATTGTACATTGAAGTTTTTTTTAACTATTTTTTTTTAAAACAGTAGTAATCTTAATAAAAACGGAGTATATATCTCCCAATTGATACGATATTCCCGGGCTTGTATTTCCTATCATGATTTCCTTGATAGAGGATTGCTGCTTACAAGGAATCTATTAAACCAAGAGTTCCAAATGGTAAAGTTGAAATCATCCCTTCGTAAATATTACGGACGCCATCACGAGTTGGTTGACCGTTATGGAATAACCGTTTCACAGATGATATCGGATATGTTCCTTATGTCGTAACTACAATACCCTTCCCTTTTCACGAATGTGACCTACCGAAATAGACTATTTACCGGATTTCTAATAACATAAGCAACACGACGGGTGCCACATGTGGAGCAGGATCTGCTTACCCTTCCGGAGCACCTGAGATCATCCCCAGTTTATGGTGGGGTTCGTGTTGCTTAGTCTTTAGTTTTCTATGTTGTGTCACCTGTACTATTATTTGTCTTTTTGTCTTTTTATTTTTGGCCATGGCGTTGTCAGTTCGTTTTCGATCTATGAGTTTGCCTGTCCCTTTGGTATCTTTCGTCCCTATTTAATAAAAAGCTTTTTAAAACGCCTATATTTTACTTTCAACTTATCATGCTTTGCATATGAAGCAGTCCGTTTTTTCCGGTGTACAACCAGTCTACAAGTTATAAAGGGAACAACTTGTGTTTAAACTTTAAAGTGTGTAATAGTAAAATAAAATCTGTAATTGGCAAAATAACTATTGCAGGCAATAGTAACTCGTTAATTATCCTTTTTAGAAAGAGTTATGAAGATAACTACTTATATTGATTTTTAATTCGTCATTCCAGAATCTCAATGAATATGTGTAGTGTCAAAAAAAAAATGTAACGCCACGTCAGTGACTACATTTCAATTCTTAATTAGTTGTTATCAAGTCAAATCATTTCGGTGTATGTTTTTAAAACAAAAATATCAAAAATACATTAGATTCTGAAATGGCAATAATTATCTTACACTGGTATATTTTATTATAGGTAGGAGATGGTCAAAAGGATCATGGCGTTTGGGGCAGACCAGAAGATATGAAAATGGACAGACCAGCTTATAAAATCACCGCAAGCAAACCCGGAAGTGACGCAGCTGGAGAGTATGCTGCTGCTATGGCTGTTGGTTCTATACTGTTTAAAGACAAAGGTTTATATCGTACAAATATATCATTTACATTAGGAGTATTTGCGAGAAAAAAATCAAGTCCTTCTATGATGTCTAAAAGCAAATGTATGTATTAAACATATATATCATGTTCAAGAGGGGTATTTGCGAAAAATGCTAGTCGAAAGAAGGTAAAATACACCTATCGGTTTTTGTCCGTAAGTACTGAACATCCAACAGATTCCATTAAAAGTTTGACGTTATAAAAAACAGGACATTGTTATACGACTTCAATATTTCCAAATAACATTAACAGTTCCAATTTTACTGCACCAAATGCTCATGTCGACAATCAAAAACTAATACAAACATTGAACAGCTGATAAAGGCATTAAGAATCTAAAGTATAGCAAAATAAATCCGGACTAGAAATCAAGAGTTTTGCGTGTATCTCAAACTCACAGGTCAAGTGTCGCAAATTTCATATTGGTGATAAAGTCTGAAACATGAAACGTTAAGCGATGAAAATAGAGAATCCACCACTGCATCAAGTGTGTTACGATATTTTTCCCCTCGAGACAGTTAAATTTTATAATTTTATAATTTAAAGCGCGAGCCTTTGCCGAGCATTTTGAATAATTAGATTAAACTGTTGAGAGTGGAGAAATATTGTAATACACGAGTTATAGTGATGGAATCTGTTTCTCTTATGATTTTTAGACGATATATAAACAAAGTTTATCCTTCCTTTTCAAAGATTTGCAGAAAGTTGTGTTCTTTATATATGACGTCATAAGGCGTGATCGCATTTTTTCATGACGTCACAATAGGAAATTCAGAAGAAACCAAGAAAATTTGACGTCATAATTAAATTTCGACAAATCATTTGCCGTGAACAAAGTTTTCTCAAGAGATGAAAATTATTTTTTCCACACCAATCGAGAAATGTGAAAAAGCATGAAAATTGGAGAAATTGGTATTGTTCACACATGTTCCTCTGCAACACACTATATCTGTTTTACACCAAATATCAATTAAGATGGTTAAGTAAAAATAATCAAAAGTAATTTCATTATTCTTCCGTTATTAGACGATAGTAAAAACAACCGCTCAAAAACAGCACACGAATGACCAAGCGTCACCGTGAAGGGTACAAAAGACAAATCGATTTGGCCAATACCAAAGAAGAGAGAATAAAAAAAAACAAAAACGTTTTTGACATATACATCGGCGATGGTCAAATAGGAACAAAATTCATCTGATGAAGGGAAAATCCATGAAAATACACAAGGTATCACCCAATCAAAATCCAGGGTACTTACCTAACATGTATTTATAACAAAAATTTAAAATCAAAGACACAGAATGAAACAAACTGATCAAAATGAGTTTTACAAATATTTTGAAAAAAGAGGAATACAAAATTTAAACCTGCATGTTGTCTGCTCTATGGTCGGGTTGTTGTCTCTTTGACACATTCCCCATTTCAATTCTCAATTTTATGTATATGTTGGTCCCTAACAAACGATATAAAAATGTTTCCATTTTTTTATTTGAACTTCACAGTATAAAAATACATTTTTCTTAAAATATGTTTAGTAACAGGAAAAATGAACTGTTATGATTTCTTCAAAACCGTTTACTATTTGTGTTTTTCTTTTCTGTTTTCAAGATATTTCATGCTAAAAATATATAAACATACGGTAGGTTTTAAGACAGGTAGATGATCTCGATCGCATGTTGATTCAAAAAAGCAAAACTAAAGTCCACGTACCTTTATGTTGAATGGATAAGTTTGTTATGATTTAAATCTGACAGCTTCAACTAGACCCATATTAATTTATTATCAGAATATTTCCGATATATTCTAATATATTTATGCCCTTTTCCTTCCCTAATCCCCTAGTTTCAAAAATGTAGAAAGAGATGTTTTTGCAGTTCTACATTCAATAATCAGAAAATATCATTATTATTATAGATCCTGCTTTTTCTGCAAAACTCTTAACACACGCAAAACAAATTTATGATTTCGCAAAAACTTACCAAGGAAAATACAGTGTTAGTGTTACTGAAGCAGCTGCTTATTACAGGTAAGTGATACAAATATGCATGATTGAACTTATGATTGCTAAAAAGAACAGGATATAGGTATAAACTTAATTGACGTCGGTTATCTCTAAATTTCTCTGAATATTTTTAGACGAAAGTTTAAAATCGGTATGATATAACAGGATACTTGTGTATGCTATGGCATTGTGATTCTGAGCGATTTTGGCAATTTAAATATTCCTTGATACTGCCACAATTTTTCTAAATGGCACAGAAACCTCAAATCTATTTGAGACAGACAGAAAGACAAAGAAAATTCGCTTACATTGCTTTTTTTTTACATTCGACCTTTATCTATTAATCAGTGTACAATCTTTTTAGTTCCGATAACTTTGCTGATGAATTATCTTGGGCAGCTGTATGGCTTTACATGGCAACCAATGTGTCTCAATACCTGACTGATGCAGAAAGTTTTTACCTGCCAGGACCAGCATGGGGTCAATCATGGGATGACAAAAATGCGGGAAATATGGTAATCGTCCGTATAGTTATAAGCAAAATCTGCTCATCCTTCCGGAGCACCTGATTTCACCACCGATGTTTTGTTGGGAATCGTGTTTCTCAATCTTTGATAGAAAAAAAAATTAAAGGATAGGGGGTATCCATCCATGACACAAAATCAGTGCATGCTCAGCTGACACACATAAGAGAAGTTATCTCAAGAATCAATACACCATAAGTTTAAAAAAAAAAGTTTTCTATGTTGACTTTGTAGACTGTCGTTTGTTCTTCCGACCTTTTTTCGGTTTGCCAAGTCGCTTTCAGTTTCGTTTTCGATTTATTAATTTGAATATTCCTTTCTTGAATGCTGATTCTCTTTTATATTACGTTATTGTCTCTTTCTTCTTCTTCTTCTACGACTGCATGTGCTAAACTTCTAAAACATCAAATGAACAGATATATTGCACTTTCGAGTCTCTCGTATCTTTGATAACTATTGCACGGGACTAGAAATATTTCAAATGTTATACCAGACATATAAGGCAAATCATAGTCACGAATTTTAAATTACTTGATTCTGAAAAAATAAAAATTTGGCACTGGTACTTTTATAATTTGTTTAGTTTACTGATGTGTAAATATGTTCTTCTTCATTGTAGTTCATTACTATATAAGATTTATAGATTACAAAATATTTGATAGAATCATGATAGGTTTAATCTATAGATTACAAAACGTTTAATGAAAGCAAGGTAGGTTTAATATATAGATTACAAAACATTTAATAATATGATGGTAGGTTTAATCAGTAGATTACAAAACATTTAATAAAATCATGCTGGGTTTAATCTACAGATTACAAAATATTTAATAAAATCATGGAAGGTTTAATCTATAGGTTATAAAACATTTCATAAAATTATGGTAGGTTTAATCTATAAATTACAAAACATTTAATAAAATCATGGTAGGTTTAAATGAATTTATTATAATCTCTGAACAAAAGGAAAATCAAGATGGAAATCAGCATGAATGCGTATGTTAATAAGGCAGTAACTCATTTATACCAATAAAAAGCAACATAACACAGACCAAGAGGCCAAGATATCAATTTGAACAGTAATAAAATGTATATAAAACATTGTCAAGATCTCAGTCGCACCGAATCAAGAGTAGTTGTAGAGTATTTAAAGAGACCATCAAAAATCATGGTAGGTTTAATCTACAGGTTACAAAACATTTATTAAAATCCTGGTAGGTTTAATCTATAGATTACAAAACATTTAATAAAATCATGGTAGGTTTAATCTATAGAGTACAAAACATTTAATAAAATCGTGGTAAGTTGAATCAATAGGTTACAAAAAATTTAATCAAATCATGGTAAGTTTACTCTATAAGTTACAAAACATTTAATAAAATCGTGATAAGTTTAGTAAATAGGTTACAAAACATTTATTAAAATCATGGTTGGTTTAAATGAATTTGTCATAATCTATGAACAAAGGGGAAATCAAGATGGAAACTTGCATGAATGCGTATGTTAATAAGGCAGTAACTCATTAATACCAATAAAAAGCAACATAATTCAGACCAAGAGGTCACGATATCAATTTAAACAATAATAAAGTGTATATAAAATATTGTCAAGATCTCAGTCGCACCCAATCAAGATTAGTTGTGGCTTATTTAAAGAGACCATCAAAGATCTGCAATTGACATCCAATTCCCAAAATGTCATAAACATTTAAATATGTTTAAACCACATCGCGAACTATGGTCCTGAATTGGTCAGGGAACATTGACACATGACGATTTTATACTTGTTTCTGTCTGTTCTCAGTTGTCCCTAGTCTTTGCTTTTCTATGTTGTGTTTTGTACACTGTTGGTTGTACTTTGGTTTATTTTAGTTTTTTGTGATGATGTTGTCAGTTTGTTCTCATTCAGATAAGAAACGAAAGTTGCATGATCGTAAAAACCAACTCTTAAAATATTCCTATTTCAGTTAAAATGGAGTGCATGACTTGCAATATATATAATGACTTACATTATTCGAAAATTTAAGCTGTTATTTTATACTTTTGTAACCATATATTTTGGTTAATTACGATTTTTGATTTCGTATGTTCTTTTTTCAAATTTACAAACTTTACTTATTTTTTTTAAGAATATTTCATAATTTCAATATTGCCAATATGATAGCATTTCCTTTCTTTATTAAGAAATAATTGGAATTATTTATTTAGATATTGTTGTATAAAATAACAAGCAAAGACAAATATAAGCACGACATTGAAGCAACATTTACCAATTGGTTACCTGGTGCTACACTAGCAGGACGAATTCCCTACACTGCTAAAGGGCTGGCCTTCAGATCAGTATGGGGATCACTTAGATATGCTTGTAAGATTATATTATCATAATTCAAAAGTTGTCAGTTTAACTATGATCAGAGTCATTTTATTACCTTGAGTTTATTATTGAGGGTATAGATGGGGGTTTACAGAATAGAGAATAATTGGAAAATACTATAAAGAATAGAGAAAAATGGACAAAAAGTCTAAAAAAAATAGAGGAAATTGGCCGAAAAATTTTAAAAAATACAGATATGAAGGACCCCATATCAGTACCCTAAGTATTTAATTCATAATTAGACTTAAGCAGCATTAGAAAACTAAACCATTAAAATACTATTATCTCTTCTTCATTTTGAAAGTTATGAAGTTAATAAAATATATTTCTTTTCAAATTATCTTCACTTCAAAATAATTCATATATATATACGCTTTTAGCAAGTAAATGGTGTTCTTCTCAATGTCTAAATTAGTAGCATCTTACATGTATGTGCAATATTTTTTACAAGACGGTTATAGCCACAAAAGTTAAATTAAATTTTGCAGAAGTGCATTTGATTTTAATAGATTTATATATTATATCTATTATAAAGTTACTCTGTTATATTTTATAAAGCAAATATGGCTTTCATGGCATTGTTGGCTGCTGAAACAGGATTGCATCCAACAGAATATAGAAAATGGGCAAAAAGTCAAATTGGATATGCTCTAGGAGATACTGGAAGAAGTTTTGTAGTTGGGTTTGGTGTAAACCCACCTACACAGCCCCATCATAGAGCAAGGTAAAATTTTCATATACAAAAAACAATAATGTATTCCTTTTAATCTATCAATGTTCAGAAAGTATACAAAAATGCCGAATTTTAGGGTTAATTTAAAAAGTGGAAGTCCTTAAAAGCTGACAAAATCAAACGTTATCAACAAAGGAACTCGGTATAGGCATTTTTCGAAAAAAATCTTTGGTTAAACCTTGTTTTATAGCTAGCTAAACCTTCAAAGTAATCATAGTATGATAAATGTATAGGCCTAATATTGCACTCAAGGTTAAAGTTATTTAAGGATGCTCTCTACTCTGTGTCAAAATAACAAGCTTTTTAAAAGACTGTTATAAATTGATAGTATATAAATAACGGAACTAAAAAAGCAGAAAACAATTAAGAGTCCGTGTCCTTGTTTTCGAGATATAAGCCATGGACAATTTAGCGGGAAATGATTCTCTCTAGATTTTTCATACATTTATCATTGGTACATTTTTTCTTTGAAAAACTATGAAAAAATTACATGAATTTTATAAGATTTTCAAATATGACTTTTTAAACTATATGTTATAAAAATATGAAAAGAAAAGTAGGGGTTAGCGGTCAAAAATTTTAATGGCATTACATAGATAAATCCAGAGGATTCTGAATATCTGACGATAAGTCAAAAACAAGAGGAACAAACATCCTTAAGAAAGAATCTTTCTTTAAATAGCAACAGGGTATGTTGTTGTATACTTCAATGAAACTGTAACCCAGCATCATACAAAGCTAAAGAAATTTTGGTTACATATAGTCTTCAACAATAGACAGATCTCGAAACGTTGTTTCAAGCTCTTAATCGCCCCTTATCTAGAACAGTACCGAATAAGTTAAACAAAGACTATCAATCATTTTGCAATCAACACCAAATTATCCATCACATGTAAGGTACTGATAACTCATAAAGATGTGACAACATATACATGCTTCAATAATTGAAAAAGAGAGGTGAAAGATACCATAGGGACATTCAATCTCATAAGTCGAAAATAAACTGACAACGCCATGACTAGAGAAAATGATCAACAGATAAACAATAGTACACAAAACACAACATAGAAAACTTAAGACTGAGCAACACGAACTCCATTAAAAATTGGGGGTGATCTCAGGTGCTCCGGAAGGGTAAGCAAATTCTCACGCAACAACCCTTTGGTTAAAACAGTTAGGGGTTTATATTCATATTCCTTAACTTTCAGTTCATGTCCAACGATACACATTCAGATATGATACCGAATATATCTTTTATGTAACCAACCGAACTATTACACGTACATATCGATAGAATTGTCGACTGTCCCCTTTTGCTTTTGAAATTTAAAAAAAAATCCGCTATGATTTTGTACGCCAGTCGCACGCTTCGTCTTCATAAAACATATACGAGACGCTCGAATTAAAGGCAAAATAAGGAGTTTAGTAATACAAATCTTATAAAACTTTCAGTTCATGTCCAATGATCCCTGCTCCATGTTCATGGGCTAATCAACAGGAAAAAGGAGCAAATCCACACACATTATATGGCGCTTTGGTTGGTGGTCCTGATCAAAATGACAAGTATACAGATAGCAGGAACAATTATATCAATAACGAAGTGGCGTGTGATTACAATGCCGGTTTCCAGGGTGCTGTTGCAGGTACCAAACTTATCATCTTAGATAAGGATAAGGCTAAGTCTGATTATGTTGGTTTTCCATGAATTCAAATTATAAAAAAAACCTCATCAAATGTACCAAGCGTATAGGTTAAGGTGACCATAGGCGCGATTACTCTTCATAACTACATACGTTATTATTGTGACTTGCATCTTTCTCATTTACAAATAAATACAATTCAACACATACACATACACTCAATACACATCCAGAATACATACTGAATAGGAACTGCATTAAATATCATTCTCATGAGGGCTTACATACAGTACATACAGTTGTCTGTTTCTTAATGTCGATCATTGTTAGCATCCTTTCTGACTTAATAGTCTAGTTATACACACTCACTTGCTGCTACTTTAAATTGCTTGTTTTTAATCATAATGATACTAAATAAATCAATTTTGAAAAATTATTGATTAATCGGTTGTTTGATTGGTCGGGAAATGCAATGTAATACTTTTTACCTTTGTAATGCACAAGTTTCGAGGATAACATTGATTTATAACATTAAAAACTAGAAGACAGCTAAATAAATCAAATGCACAGGAACAATAACACAAAGAGCCTAGATACAATTTAAACAAATCCTTCCTCGTAACTTTTGTTAAAAGTAGTTTCCAATTAATTGAACACACTACATATTCTATGAAAAAGTAAAATAACAAAAATACCGAGCTCGAAGGGAAATTCAAAACGGAAAGTCCTTTATAAAATGGCAAAATCAAAAGCTCAAACACATCTAACGAATGGAAATGTCACATTCTGGTACAGGCATTTCCTTAAATAAATCAATTTTGAAAAATAGAAAATGGTGGATTAAACCTAAACAATTATAATCAAATTTGAAGTGTGTCAGTATCGGACCACAATTTAGTACCCAAAGAATAACAACGGAAAGAAAAAAAAAACAAAAATTTTCAATCTTGTGTCTGTATAAGGTTTGCTTTTCCGAATCCGGTTATACAACAAACAAGAACGCACAAGAATATACTAGTATACAGATATGTATTTGATTAAGTTTTTTTGCATCACTCAACAATTTCATCATGTTCATCTTGTTTTCAGGTCTGAAATCGCTTCATCTGAGGAACATTCTAGACAAATAAGAAATAAAACAATAATAATAGTAAAACAAGTAAACTTTTTATTTCTTTTTATCTTATATAGATATAGGAAGATGTGGTATGAGTGCCAATGAGACAACTCTCCATCCAAGTTACAATTTATAAAAGTAAACCATTATAGGTCAAGGTACGGCCTTCAACACGGAGCATTGGCTCACACCGAACAGCAAGCTATAAAAGGCCCCAAAAAATTACTAGTGTAAAACCATTCAAACGGAAAAACCAACGGTCTAATCTATATAAAAACGAGAAACGAGAAACACGTATGAACTACATAAACAGACGACAACTACTGTAATCAGATTCCTGACTTAGGACAGGTGCAAACATTTGCAGCGGGATTAAAAGTTTTAATGGTACCAAACCTTCTCCCTTTTCTGAAACAATAGTATAACATCACAACATAGAAAAACACACTATAAAATATCAATTGGAATGCTTAACTAAATCAAAAAACGTAAATTAACACACAATGAACGAATGAATTTGACCTGTGACACCTGCATGAATGCAAATACACAGTTAATAAAAAATTACAAGAGATAAATAATTAAAGTCAAAAGTAAATAAACAGGTTTAAACAAAGTTAAAGTATGATATTACTGTGAAATTTCAAACAATTTATAGAAAATCATCACTTTTGAAGAAACCTGCGTCATATTATACACAGGTAAATGAAAATAATTTTGTTGTTAAGTATACTTCTTCTTCTGTGTGTATAAAATCTTCCGTTTAGGAATACCAAGAAATTTCTTTAATATCAATAAAACTAATCTAACACTTGGTACATATGGGGTGAATATCAACAATAAAAATATACAATTAGTGCTAGATAAAACTTCCTGTACAGGTCCAAGAACAGCATCTAAGGAAAAATGAAATAATTTTGATGTTCATAGTACGAAGAAGTGAAAATTTGTAGTAATTAAATACCAAATAATCAAAGCTGGTATATAGACAAGATCCATGTTAACATTAAATATATATATATATATATATATATATATATATATATATATATATATATATGTTGGAATAGGTGTAACATTTGTGAAATGATTGTTTTAGAAGATCATATTGGAAAAGAAATAAACATGGCAAAAAAACACATGCTCTAAAAATATCATTATACTACTCATTTGAATGATTTCATTATTTTTTTCAAGGTGATAATGTACTGTTCGCTTACTGTTTCATACTGAAAACTTATCAGTGAAGCTCGAATCAAATTATTTATATTGCAAGAGATCGATGGGTCTCTCAAGGTTCTCCATCTTCGCTAGCCAAGGGTTACGATCCACTTCCCTCCTCTCCACCCTTGGCAGATTAAGGCAACATTTGTGATAACAATGTTGCGCCATCTATCGGTAGATTAAAGTCACGCCCATTCCTAATACATTATTCTTGACCAGTGGTAGCACTTGAACTCTTCAATTTGGAGGTAAAAACACGGTAGCGTCTAGATTCTACACACTTGGTAAAGCAGGAAACGAAAATATACGTTGACATTTATGCATTTGACTGTGCAAGAAACATACACAGGAACTTCTATTTGTTGATTAAAAACATTCAAATTGTCACTAAATATAGTCGTATGTTTAGGAATGTAAAGACTTGTTGCACAATAAGCACGTGGCAAATGTTTACATACACTTTCTACATTTACACGTGATCATGTTATAGGCGCTTTTTGATTGGATGCAGTGAGTTTCGACTGCAACCAATTGAAATCATTACCTTGTGTCTACGAAATTCTATCTCAATCCGCCAAGGGTCGAGAGGAGGGAAGTGGATCGTAACCCTTGGCTAGCGAAGATGAAGGTTCTCCGACTTCTTTGAACAATACAAACTTGCCACCATGATGTAGCAGATAGTGCTGAAAGTGGCGCTAAAAACCTACATTCAATCATTAATCATATTACAAGAAACCAGCCATAAAATATCACACGTAAGGGTAACCTAAGACTCTTATTAAACCGCAAAAGACGAAAATGAGATCAGAGATACAACTTGAACATTTGTAATCCGACTATTATGTTTCTAACTTAGAATTTTGTGTGGTAAAAAATCTTATTGAAAGGTGACATTCCATTAACTGTTATAATCTCTGTACTATACAATAGAAGTAAAAATAGATCTAAAGAGCTTTTGTGTACACCTGCATATTTCACCAGTCCTGTGCATTAGATGTGGATTCTGAAAGAGTCTACACATGTATTGGAATGTTATAAATCTGAAGACTACCACTTTTGCAGTATTGTCCATTTGATTTCAATGAATAATAAAAATAAATTATCAAAATTTTAAAATACATGTCTGGTTGTTAGTTTCTTTTCATTGAGTGCGAGGGGCTGTTGCCAGAGCACTTAATTTTATATTATATACCTTTCCATTGACTATCCAATTTACCGCATGTTTAAATCTCAGTAATCTTATAATCGGTCCATTGATAGTTGATATTTGCTGACTACTTTGTTCAAATATTTTTTTAAAAGGAGTTTACTTAGTAGTTTTATGTTGTAAATTCTCTCCCTGATGGCATAGCTGTTGGAATTGTTCATTTTGTGACAGTGATTTATCCATGTTATCACCTCTTAAGTTTAAAAATGCAGCAAACACGAAATAGAAACCTGGCGGTTTATATGTCAAAAAAACTTAAGAATAATTAGGTGATTTTAAAAGGCCATTGACTCCAGAATGAATTAGATTGTGGCTGCTGATATATATACTGAGACAAAGAAATGTGTACTTCGTTACAAGTTAAGATGACAAAATAAATAAACCAAAACCAGACATAGATAGTTTAGTTGCAGTAGGCGTTCTTCATGGTTTGAAAACATTTTGTTTAAATTTTACAATAGAACTAAAGCTGTGGTTTTAACTCAAAATATAGATGTATGTATCCCATGGATGGTTTAGCGGATAGACATTAAAATAACTACAATGTTTCAATCATGTCAATAGATCAATTATCATGTCATATAACAGGTTTTAAAAAATAAACATTTTTTTTATTTCAAAGTATATCAAATCTATGTTATTTTATCAAAATGTAGGTAAAGATGGCGCATTTCCTCCAGACATCATCACAGTGCACTTAGGATTGGATGACAGGATAAAGTTTCGTAGAAAAAAAGATCGCCATCATCTTCATTTTATGTGACATTATCATTTTTTTTCTCTCACATATGTTTACAACTCATCATCCATTTGCTTGAATTTTCGTTTGACACTAATAGTATAAATTGCCCTAGAATGGGGTTTTCGTGCCTTTTTATGTGCAAGGCAAAGAGAATAGACTATAAAGAGAATGTAAAAAACGTTAATATTATAAGTCACTTATAGAAGTTATTGCCCTTGAATGACGATATTTATCCATTTTTGTACTTTGGAAAACACTACAATAGGTAGAAAGAAACTGAAAATTAATAATAAAATATTAACAACAAGAGATCTTAGGAATGACTTATGTTCTAGTCTTCAATGTTGCAATTGCACATACAACCAAGTGAGAGTATTTGCCAAAATACTCTTGATATCCTATATTCTCCTGTTGTGCACTTAAAGGACTTCAATCATTTCTTAAAACATAGTTTCCGATCTGTTGACGACGTTTCTTCTTCAAATAATACATTTGATGAATATATAGATTTCGTCTTAATGATTCATCTAAAAATTTAGATCGTCAACAGAAAAAAAAAGGATCTATGTCATAACTGGGATTATACTATAGTGTTATTAACTAGCTGTTTTTGTATTGGCCCTGTTATAGATTCGAGGTTAGCTGTATTGGACCTCGTCTTAATGATTCATCTAAAAATTTAGATCGTCAACAGAAAAAAAAGGATCTATGTCATAACTGGGATTATACTATAGTGTTATTAACTAGCTGTTTTTGTATTGGCCCTGTTATAGATTCGAGGTTAGCTGTATTGGACCCGCGACTCGAAGAGTCGAGGGCCAATACAGCTGATCAAGAATCTATAACAAGGCCAATACAGAAACAGCCAGTTCAGAACACTTTTATTAAATGATTTTAATTCTTCAATTAAATAAGCAACTTACCTTAAAGTAGGAGAAGATACAGAAATTCATATCTGAACTTGTCGTTTCGCATTCACGATGGATTTTTTTTCAACATTGTCAGATGTAATTTCTGATTTCTTGTCCAAGTACTTAATCGTATGCTATTACAAATTATTTTATCTAGCAAATATTAAGAAGCTGGGAAGAATTAATCAGACTGTTTAACTTTTCTTATTCTAGAAGTCGTACCCGAAAAGGCTGAGAAATATTTTCGTTTCAAGACGTTACAAAACACTGAACATCATTTAAACTTTTTTATGATATTTAGTTCAAATATATGAATACAAATGTATTTTATGCATAACGCTACGTCCAAAGTTAACTGTTAAGTAAGCTTAGGGGTAAGACAATTAAAACCGGAAGTGAACGTTCCGTATTAGCCCGTGGGCTTATACGGGGCCAATACGGCTTTTTCCGTATTGGCCCTCGTATTGGCCCTGTCCGAAAACCAGTATTAACTCCGGATTTATATCGACAGGACAACGTCACCAGTATTGCACATGCTGATTTATCCGTATTAGGGCTGATTTGCTCATATCATTTAATAATAAACATTAGATACCAAAGGATGTATGAAAACAAAGCTGCATGACAGATAATAGTTTCTATGAAATAATTATAAATAACCATTTCTACCTAGAAATATTTCGTAAGTCCCTCTTGTTGACTTATCTGGATGGACATTTACGATATTTGATAAATTACAATATTGATGAGCAACTTATCAACGCAAGTGTCATATAACAAGTATATTTGCTTACTCTTTCAACGCCACTTAATAACAGTCCTGTTTGTGAAGGGATGATTGTAGTTTTATCATTCATTGTGTGAGTGTGGATTTGATGGTTATAAAAATTCCATTGTGTGCGTTTTGAAGTTAGTGAAAGCTGAAGATTTCGTAGTCCAGACAAACACCATATATCGGCTATCGGTACAGAAGATAAAATAGAATCTGCGTTTCCAATTGCTTTTAAATCAATTTTGCTATCGTGTACAGCAGATTTTGTCTGAATGTTCGGTTGCCAATGCAATACAATGAATTTGCAATCGTGCACAGCAGATTTTGAACTGTATTACCTTTTGCATCTGCCAAAACGATAGCAGGAAATAGGGTGTGAGGAAGATTGCATAAACAGACAAAAAGGATATACGTTGTTGCAAGTTAATGCAAGCACCGCTTATGAAATATGGCTTTTTCAGATTACATTTATTGATCAAAAATAAATTATCTGTCCAAAATATGTCGAACATGTAGAGACTTCAGTCCTGAAAAGAAAGAAAACAGTAGCAAGAAATAAAATGAGTTAATGCTTGAGGCTTAAAACTGGCAGTGTAAGAGTTCCCATTAAAGCTTCAATTTTCTGTCAGTTATATTAAGTTGAAAAGCATTGAGAATCAACAGTTCTAAAACAAATTTTACAAAATATATGCGATAGATACCTTAATTCTTTAAAAGTCAGTTGAACGTTTAAATCACATACTTTTAGTATAGAGAAATCAAGCCTCTCAATGATCAAAATTAGTGTTTGTCAAACTGCTATATATCCAATGAATTTTTCCTGTAAATTGGTAGGTTAAAATTTCTTGAATTTTTTTTTTATTATTTTTTTGTCATCAGGTCAAAGTATATCTTTTGTCACAATGTTTACTTAAATTAAACGAGCCAAATGTATTTTAGTCAAAGTGTTTGGTACCCCCTTAAACAGCAGATATTTTAGTTCCTTTTTATTATTTCAATCTATCATACGCTACACCAAAACAAATAGGAAGAGAAAGAATGTTTGTATTGTATAAAAATGCGGTATTCCGTTTTGATACCATTGGCTACTGCCGTAGTACATTTTCTTATTTTGATCGATGATGCAAACTTCTAACGTCTTTTCCCTAATATATTACCAAACTTCATGTGAAATTTTCACTTTGTACCATCGTATATAAATTGCAAGGGTATCCGGATGCGAATTACGATAAGCCATTTCAGCCCTTTGAAAACGGCGGTGTATTTGTAATCATAAATTCTAATCAATTTTAGAAACATAAAGTCTAAATATTACTGTATAAATATAAGCGATCGATTTTTAAGCATACCTGCAACAGCTCCTTGGAATCCAGCGTTGTAGTCACAAGCCACTTCGTTACTAACATAGTCAGTCCTGACGTCTGTGTATTTGTCGGTCTGATCTGGTCCTCCTACCAGAGCACCGTACAGGGTATGTGGATTAGGCCCTTTCTGTTGTTGCTGGTCCCAGGAACAAGGTGCTGGGATCATTGGACATGAGCTGAAATTAAAGGTTAGTTTATGAAATGTCTAAAAAAAAAACAACAATCACCATATGTTTGTAGTTATCTAAAATATCGATGCGTTTTTGGATTCATATTTTTAAAACTATTAAACTAAACTAATTCACCCATAAGTGTGAGATTAATACGTGTAATGATTGCTTGATGACTTGTATCTTAAAAGTTTTAATGGAGAAAAGCTACAGAGACCATTTATTTTAGCTTCTAATTAGTACAAAAATGGGCTCAAATAGATATATATTCAACAATCATGTAACCTGGTTGCAGATGGCGTTGGCATCCACTAATTTTCCGAAACCACTGAATTTTCAACGAATTGTTTTAATATTCTTTATCTCACATTATGTTGCAGGATTCGTTCAAATTCGATAGATAAAGTATGAATCTGTCATCTCTGTTTTGAATTCTCGTTAATCAGCATACTTCTCTTTATTACTTAGTGCACTCTATATTTTGGAATCAATGAAAACAGTTACCTTCCCCTGTGATGTGGTTGTGTAGGAGGATTAACTCCGAATCCAACAACAAAACTTCTTCCAGTGTCTCCAAGAGCGTACCCAATCTGACTTTTAGCCCATTTTCGGTACTCTGTTGGATGTATTCCTAGCTCAGCAGTAAGAAGAGCCATAAAGGCCATGTTAGCTACAAAATAACAAACAAGTCTTAGTAAGATAATAACACGATGTGTTATTACGTCCTTTTCTTCAAATTATCAGGAAAATAATTGAAAATGAGTTTGCGAATTCTCCCTTCAAAGGTCAAAGTATGTAAAATATGAAATTATTCTACCAATTTCAGTTATATAATCTGGACATACCCAAAATTTAACATTCTATAATTGAAAGGGAACCAGTTATACATATTTCTTATGTCATGAACTTATCATACCGTGAACTTGTAACAAATGAAATGAAAAAGGTGAAACACGCATAATTTGCATAGCAATCACATTCCTGCAATGTTGGGTAAATATATTAAATATAAAATCAAACAAACGCAGAAATGAATAAAACGCTTGACATTTAAACTGCTAGATGACAGTTAAAATCGATAGTCAAGAAAGTTCTGCTATACATTGTAAATCCCCGTCTTTCGTTGTCTAGTCAATGAACATGAGACATCTTGACAATTTCATATAACACCCCTAATCTATTCATCATGAATTATTGATTAAAGGTTGCACTTCTTTAAATATAGACAATGCAATTTCTCATAGAAACTCCTTTTACGGCTAAAACTGTGCTACTTTCACTATGAAGTTTCGTAAAAGAATTATATCCTAGAATAGCAAGTTCATATGCGCTACTATTTTTTTCTAAGGTAAGAAAATAGGGCTGTGCGGCATATTTTCAACATTTATATGCCCCGAACTTCTTAGAGTTTAAACTTGTACTAAAATTCTGTACTACCCCTCCATTCACTTTGGGTCTTCCTCAGAATTCAATTTGGCCGTTATCCATTAGTATTTTTACTGGTAACATTTCCAAGTTATGTCTCTATGAGATGAAACATAAAGATCATATCTTAGAACCAGTATGTAAACAAAAGAAAATATCCATGAATATCACATATCTCCCCAAAAGAGGAGTGGTTTGTGAAACAGCTGTATTTACTAAGTGCAACCTATACTGATAAAAAGTATTAACAAAAAAAACGAATTCCAAGATAAATTAGAAAAAGGAGAAGTCCATAAATCCTGACAACACGTTCATTTATTCTATAAATATCATTCATACAGGCATATCTGAGAGATCCCCATTGCAGTCTAAATGCCAGTCCTTTTGGAGAATAGGGCAATGCAGCAGTACTAGTTCCACCAGGTAACCAATCAGTAAACGTGGCTTCTAGATCTTGTTTGTAAATATCCTTCTTTGTCATGTTGTACAACAGAACCTACCAAAAAATATCAGAAATGTGAAATCGATAGTAAATGAAATGTAGAACACAATGATCCATTTCCACCAATTTTCAACTTCATGTTTGATAAGACCTTCCAACTGTATTGATTCCAGCGTCATAATGGATCTGATGTAGACGTAGCCTGGTATCTTAGATGAGTTTGTCCACTGTGAATACGATTAACTTTCTTTTATGAACGTTTGCGAGTTTTGAAAAAAAAATAGTAAACTTTAATTAGTTTGCAACAACATCACGTCTTTGAATACTGTTTTACCATATGATTCCTTTTGTTACAAGCATTTCAAATTATACACATTATATACTTTTAAAATTTTGGTTATTCGTTGTGCAGAAAATGTTTTGGTGAAAAATGTAATGCAAATTTCAACGTTACGACGAGGTACATGACGAGGTCTGTTCTAGTTCTAAGGAGGTTGGTCAATGTTAAGGGACATTACTCGTATAATAACGATGATTTTTATCGATGTGATATCATGAATATATCTCGATGAATTGAACATATCAGTGTTGTATGATACAAAGTGGTTGATATCAAGTTACATAAAGGAGATAGATTAAATAGGCTTTTAATGAAACATCAAACTTAACTAGAAAAGTTGTGGATAATTTAAAAAATGTTAGATACGTAATCAATATGTGCAATTGATAGAGTTGAACCTGTATTTAGATGAAAGTACATTCTGCAAAAATATGAGCTCAAGAACAATACCATGTTTCCTGTATTTTTCTCATCCCACGACTGGCCCCACGCTGCACCGGTTTCATAATGTTTTTCAGCATCAGCTAAATATGAAGCTTCTCCAGTAGCTCTATACAACCATGCTCCTCCCCATGTTAGCTCGTCTTCAAACTCACTGGATCTAGATTGAACACATATACATAATATCAGTAAACAGCTGTTTTGTGTCAATTACGGCAAACATAAATACATGTGTTAAGGCTTCCCCCTGGACTATTGTATTGTAATTCTTTAAATGCCTATCTTTATTTATTTTTTTTTTTGCATTTTGATAGTGAATTGTGACACAATTGTAAGTCTCCACATGTAATCAAGGTAAACGAAAAACGAGCAAAATAAAACAAATCGTACATACCTTTTTAAATTGTTTAAGGTGGTACCAAACACCTTGACTAAAATTAATTTAGCGTGCTTAATTTTCATAAAATTTTGATAAAATTTTACTTTGACCCTTTGAAAAAAATTAAAAAAATTTAAAAAATTGAACCACATACTTATCGGAAAAATTTCATTGGATATGTAGCAATTTGACAACCACTAATTTAGATCATTGAGAAGCTTAATATTTCCTTAACAATAGAACGTGATTAAAACGTTCAGCTGATTTTTACAGAGTTGTCTTCTTGTAGTGTTATGTACCACCTTAAGGAGGAATTCAATATTATTGTTTGGCATTAATAGTTTGATGAACAACCTCTTTTATAAAACATCTTTGTATTCCTATTTTCGCGCATACTTTATTTCGCGTTAAGATCTTTCTAGCCATTTACGCGGCGATTTATTTTCGCGATCTACTTATTTTCGTTATATATTTTCATATAAGTGAAGATCTAAGTTTTATATATTCGCGAAAATAAATCGCTCGCGAATATAAGTTAGTTTAAAACGGATTCAACGTGTCAACACAAATATGTAAGAAAATAAGTATATTGATAATATTCAAAACTCCAGTTGTTCACTTGAAAATATACTGTTTTACATGTATGCATGTCATTACGGCTCTGACGATTTTTTTTAATAACGATTTGGTATAAAGTAAAATAACAAAAATACCGAACTCCAAGGAAAATTCAAATCGGAAAGTTCCTTATCATATGGCAAAATCAAAAGCTCAAACACATCAAACGAATGGAAAACAACTGTCATATTCCTGACTTGGAACAGGCATTTCCTTATGTAAAAAATGGTGGATTAAACCTGGTATTATAATAATAATATAATAATAATAATAAATTCTTTATTTAAAGAGGGTAAACACAGTAAGTTACAATTACTAATCTTCCCTGAGGCCCTCATATATAATACAAGTAAAAAAATAATAATAAGAGAGAAAAAGCAAACATACAACATATTAACACATAGTCAGTTCACAATCGTATAGTCATGATAGTTCAGTGTACATGTACCATTAGAACATATAAAACAGTTACAGAGTGCATGTAGTAAATGGATATTATATACAAATCAAAATCATACATTCTAAAAAAGTAATAGTTTTATAACTAGCTGAACCTCTCACTTGTATGACAGTCGCATAAAATTCCTTGATATTGACAACAATGTGTTGACAAAACAAACAGACATAATAGGTAAAAATGTCAAAAATAGGGGTATCTTTGAAAGTTACTTAAATAACTTGACTCACTTTCAAAGTAAGGTTACTACAGAACTTTCATGTTTGAACATTGTTTGGCAACTCTTTTGGGTTCAGCTACTTTTGGTCAATTACAATGAACAATACATTGTCAAAATTAACGTTTCAAACTATTCAACATAAATCTATCTGTAGTCTTTTTTGTTTCACAACTTCTGAGAACGATATGAAGGATTAACATTTCACCAAACAAACGTAGCACTATGTAATCTGATTATTTTCAGTAAAGTTGTAATAAAAGACAACAGGTATTCGGTATGAAATTGCATTTTGGTACAAAAATTAACAAAATGTATTAACTCCAACCGTTCGAGTCTCGGTGACTATACAACAACCTCTAGTATATTCAACAACAAACACTAAAGGAGCCAGTTATTAATATAACACTTTAGTAATACAGAGAGCCTTTCGCGATGATCCTAGCGTGCGCCAAATATGTTCAGTCGCCATTAAAATACTATGTCTTTCAGTAAAATATAATATGAACATTACTATGTTTTTTAGGGGGAAAGAGAGTAAAAAAGTACTTTTATAACTTTTTATTGAATATGCCTTTAAATTTAGCTCAAAATGGGCTTTTACCTATAATAAGCAGCTGCAGCGTTCACGCTGTCACTATACTTTCCAGTGTGAGTTTTAGCAAAGGTGTACAACTGTTTTGCGTGTGTCAATAGTTTGGCTGAAAAAGCTGGATCTGAAATGTATTTAATGATATTGTAATAGAACTAATAAATCGATCGAATAAGAGTTCTAATTTTAATATCTTTATTGTGTAGTTTTGGTCAAATTACAATCCATTCAGCGGTCAGTCTTATTCATATTATAGAGGTGATTCACAGCTTCATAATCTAATACATTCTGGGTAACTTTTCCAAAAGCGTATATCAAAATTTTTTAATTGGTTAATGTTGTTTATAACGATGGATATCCAACCAATAGTGTGAAGTAATTTTTATTTTGATGCATGAACAATGAAATTTAACCCTTTAGATTCGGAAACATTTATGCCGAAACAATAGGCGCGGATTTAGGTAGACGGGTCTATGGAGCTTCATTTATAATTTTTTACAAATCAAACCTCTGAAGTTGTCTTGTTGTTGCCCTACTTTTTCAAAATCTTAGATCCAGATCTGATAATGGTTTTGTTTCTCTTTTAATCATGAATGATATTCCACAAATCCTATAAATAATGTATATCAATTTTCAAAAGTGAACGGTCTTGATTTAATAATATACACCCTAATATGGCTATATTAGAGTTGTCTTTACTGTTTTGTTTGGGCTTTATGTTGTAGTTCTGTGATTTTGTTAAAAAAGAATTGAGTTGGCGTAAAATGATTGTTTGAAAGAAACACACTTCTTAGTGAGAAATATAATAGATTCCCTTAATAGAAAGCTGTAGTAAGAATTGTGTGCTATATTTGCTTTATATATTTTGTGTAAAAACGTGAAGTTATGTAATGTACGTCTAGATAAACTTTATTATAGCGCCGCTATAAATAAGTATTGGGTGCAGAAAAAAAGCAATTTTACATCTACTTTTCATTATTGGTAAACAAATACATACGTCATATTAAGACGGATATCTCTTTCAAAATATAATTTTTACTTTACAGCATAACTTTGGCTTTGACACAAATAAATATGATTTAACGAGTATTATGTTTTTTGCTTTAAAATAATTTCCCATGTATCAGTAGGCGCAAAACAGATAACAAACCTTTGTCTTTAAAAATCAAAGATCCTACGGTCATGGCGGCTGCGTATTCTGCTGCTACGTCACTTCCGGGATTGCTGGCAGTAATTTTAAATGCCGGTCTGTCTAAACTCATATCTTCCGGTCTTGTCCAGCTTCCGTGGTCTTTGCCACCATCTCCTACCTTGGTTCGGAGAAATTGTATTGGTAAATCACACGTGTAACCTGATATTTTATCAACATTTAAGATAATAAGCAGATAACGTCAAATTAAAAATCAAATATAGGATTATTTCCAAAGGTCATATTGTTAGCTTTCTACTTTGATAATGTCTATCTCTTCTGGGGGATATTTATAACTCTAACACAAGAGGCGATCGATACATTTATAACAATATTAGTTGCGTTGCAAGTTAAGAAATATCCTGCAATTGGCTGCAATACCTTACAAATACAATTATTTTACAATTAAACAATCTTACAGCAGATGTCATGAATATGTAATTATACAACATCACCTATACCAAATTAAATACGTACCGTTTGCTCTCCCGCATGAAATATTTAAAGAAAAAGTTGTTAAGGACCCTTACCATTATCCACGCCCTACTGGTTCTGATGGCCATTTGAATAAAGTAAAACATACCTTTATAAACCGGATCCCGTTTTCCAGTTTATATTTCTTCCATAAAATGTGGAAGGAGTGCATTTTTTAAAACTCTTTTGGATATATCATTAATAAAATTTAGAATGGAAATGGGGAATGTGTCAAAGAGACAACAACCCGACCATAGAGCAGACAACAGCCGAAGGCCACCAATGGGTCATTAACTTTGTTTACTTATGGTTAATACTTTTATAAAATGATTTATAACTTAAATTTATGGTTTCAACAAACACTTGTCATACAGTTTCTTCATATGCGTGCAATTTAATAAACAGATCAGTGATTATTACTAAATATAGCCATATCTAAATAGAAATATTTATTTCTGAATTCCGAATGAAAATTGACCTAGTTTGTAATCAAGTTCAATTTGAAATATGTATTAAAGATATTGATTTGATAAATAATGCAATAATATAGAATTTTATTTGAACGAAAGAATGACACATGGAAATGGTTTATGTGACTAATAAAAATGACAAAAATAGCTCTTTTCATTAGGAAATTATTGTTTGCAAAGGGAAGTAACTGTTATCGTTCTAAATCAAGAATATACTTATTCAAATATCTCCATAAGTATATTCACATTTGAGGGGTAACTGATATTTTCACAATATATTTAAATGCAAACAAATTCGTATTATTTGTTTAAATACATATAATTTGATGGTTCATAATTTTAAGGTTGTGTTAAGCAATAATTGGGTACCTATGTAAACTAATAACACACTAGGACTCATTTTTTCAATTTTAATTTATAATGTTAGCACTCTAAGGTTAAAGGATGTGTTAGATATAAGGTAATTTTCATTTTTGTTTTAATTGAAAGATGTACTTTTCTTGTTTTTATTATTTATTTTTTAAAGGGAAGCATTGTTCCTAACGGGTAAATTTTTAAAAATTACGATAGTTATTTTAAATACATTTTTTCTATTTACCTGAACATAAAGCTCATTAGTTCCGGTATGACATTTCAATAGCCACTCCAAAGGCCATCTAATGCAGTCATACATTTCTCCTAGCTGACCACTAGCAAGATAAGCGTCTCTGTACTCCAAAAGACTCCAGCCGAGCAGTGTTGCAGTGGCAGCCATTGGGAAACCAAATTTTACATTATCGCCAGCTTGAAATGACAATATTTAAACTCATCTAATTTATAAACTGTTAACCTTGGCAACCTTCAGCATCACAACGCCAAATTTACTCAAAAGGATTTGACAGATATGGCCGTGTTTATATTACAAAATATAAATAAAGACAAACCTATGTATCTAGGAAAGTATTTGAGCATGGTAGAATAAGATATATATGTATAAAAGGTTGTCCTGTAGTATTTTGATTAAAAAATATATTTTGATTAAAAACATATTTGGAATGTTTGGTGACCTTTAATAAATTATAAAAAATAGGAGATGGGGTATGATTGCTTATGAGATAACTATCCACCAAAGTTCAAATGAGGTAAATGTAAGCAATCATACCGTAGAGTTGGCTATAAAATGCCCCAACATGAAAAATATGAAACAAATCAATTGAGGAAACTAACGGCTTAATTTATAACAAAACAATTTACGAAAAAACAAATATGACAGACATGAACCAACGACAACCACTGAACTACAGGCTCTTCATTTGGGACAGGCATATAAAGAATGTGGTGGGGTTAAATATGTTTGTGAGCGCTCAACCCTCCCCCTAACCTGGGACAGTGATGTTACAGCACAACGTAAGAACATACTATAAAAATCAGTTGAAAAGGGATCAGATTGATACAAAGAATAAAAACATCTAAAAAGAACACAAGTAGATATCTGCATTTTATTTGTATCACAATTTATTTTAACTTAGTTTAATTCTTGAAAATGTTTAAAACAAAACTTACTTAAACCATTTAAATTTTACCAGAAGGGAAGCATTCGCCACTATATGAGATTACAACAACATTATTACATGTATATTTTCTTCTTGATGTTTGTTAATTTTCATTGCATACATTTCTAGTTTAAAAGCTATATTTGTCTGATGAGTTGAAAGTCAAAATATTTTATGGATCTAGTATGACGTGATCAGTAGTTTGCATTGCATAACAGGATATATTCCTGGGTCATTCTGAAATATTTCGTCACAATGATCTTGCAGTAACTATGAATATCAATTATCCTGTCCATGAAAGGCTCGTATCCTTTTTTCAAATTTTATTACATAATTTATCAATTAAGGTATTCGATATTTTCAATTTCACAACATTTTGTTGACCATGTTTTCAGACGTAGGTGGAAAAAAAACTGATACAAGAATTGAAAAGTAAAATAGAGATTTGAAATCACGCGAGTATTTAATTCTATTTAAACAATTTGCCTACCATCATACCATCCACCAGTTAAGTCTTCACCATTAGCTCCCTGATCAGTTAGTGCGGAATCTGCACGCCATGGAATTGGGTTGTCAGCCGGTAGTTTCCCAGATCTCTGCGCATCGTAGAACAAAATCGATTTTTCAAGTACTTCGTCATAGTTATATTTAGTCCCATCAGCTGAAAAAGATGCATTATTAACTCACCGATACATGATTTTTCTTAGTTTAACGTGGACAAAGTCATCATAGATACCACGCTTAAAATTGTGTACGCCAGACGTATGTTTCGTCTACAAAAGACTCATTAGTGACGCTCGAATAAAAAAAAGTTTAAAAAGCCAAATGAAGTTGAAGAGCATTCAGGACAAAAAATGTTGAAATGTATTGACAAATACAGCTTAGGAAAATTCTTAGTGTAAAGACAATATATAAACTTAACTCATTGTAGCTGATGTTTTATTTATAACTATTCTGGGATAGAAAATCATTAGTGGAAAGACAGTATAAAAATTTGATGAAATTCATTAGAAATATACGATCGCATTGTTGCTGATATTTTAAACAGCAAAATGATGGGGAAATGTGGCTTCACCTTCAAAACTGAAAAACTTTTCCAAAGTTTACATTTGCAATTGGTTTTTCGAAATCGTATCTAGTGAATGCAAAAAACAGATTTGAAAAGAAAAAGAGAAATATAATTAGTCATTTCTATTGAAAAGCTTCTCTCGTCACTAGACAGAATAAAAGTCATCGACAGACAGTCAGAAATCTTGAGACAATCGTGAACATAAACAATAAGAGATTTCCCTATCTAATGCATCAATAATACATAATCATTCGGACGCATGAAATTATTAAACGTGTTGTTTTCAATTTTTTATTTAATGCAGCTCTTACTGTTAGGAACTGGAGGCACAGTGAAACCATCATCACCAAAGTTTTTCAAAACTGCCGTGGCCGTTGGTGGATTACTTCCGCTGAATTTACCGCCAATTTTGAAGTCCAGTGAACCTCCAGTGTGGGCAATAGCAGTATGTGGTTTGTTGACAAATGTCCATACTTTTTTGTCTGCTGAGTGAGTTACCTCGTCCGCCATGTATTGCTGTTGAAATAATCATTTAAGAGACATATTGAGAATCCAAGATATATGTGACTTAATGATCGAACATATCAGAAATAATATAAATGCATCTATAATAGAGACTGGTGCACGTTTTCCAATTGAAATATATGATTCTACGATGTTTTGATAACCGGGAACCAACCAAATTTGAAATTGGTTTCATTGTCAATATTACAAATGCATAAATAATATTAGATTATAGGAATGTCTGTTAAGTCCTATACTTAAATCAAGTATTAACGGTATCAATTTTTTTTTTCTGCACCAGATGCGCATTTCGACAATAATTGCCTCTTCAGTTATGCTTGAGGCCAAATCATTTGAAAATCCAAAGCTTTTTTTAAAACAAAAAGGACAAAAAAATGTATTAAGGATGTACTAAAGTGAAATTAAAAAAATCTAGAATTTAAAATTTACACTATAAGTCAGAAGAGCATTAGTTAATGATCAAAATAAGCTAAAATATTGATAGGTCACGGAGCTCCTTTTTGAGATTTAAAAGTTTTTTTTGAAATGGCGGGAAAAGGCTGACTCGGACTTTTACCTTATATTTGCATTGGTATTATTTGGATCTCAAATCGAGAAAAAAAACTAGAATCTGCTTAAATTTTGGTAAATGACCTTTTATGTGCTATTGCAGTCCGATATGAAAAGAAAAATGGGTGTTATGGGGCACAATATTTTACCCTGTATCGTAGGAAAAAAACCAAGGAGCCCGAACAGCTGACAAAAAATCCTAAACCTGATCTAAGTACATCCTTTAGGGAATAATAATTCACCAATGTTCAAATCTCGTTAATCGATAAGGAATAGACAAATCAAGGTAACAAACAAGGTCCGAGGTCGGGTGCATCAACAAGAAAAGCTTTTTTGTCTATGTATGCCTCATTATTATGTCATGCGAATTCACAATCATTCAAAATGTCACAATAGAGAATATGATACAATCGATTAAATTACAGATCAGACGACTATACTTGTATCTAAATATCTTAGTGAGTTGAAACGCTGACACATTGTGTCATTCAACGTAATAGTATGTTTAACTAATGATGCTATTCTTGACGCCCGTATTTTGCATTTATTTAAGGTCCCATAGCGGCAAATGCTTCAGCTTATCCGTGAAAAAAAACTCTCGCCAGAGCACATTTCGAATCCTAATTAACACAACACTACAATAAAATGAATGAAATGAGAAGCGTGTAAAATGTCAATGATACTGCAACCTACGAAAAATCTCTAGATTATCCTGTTAAAACTACACAATCCCGTCCTCTTTCCCTCGATTATGACATTACTGAACGACTTATTACCGTATATGTACTTCAATGAGTAACACGACGGGTTCTTCTAGTGACGCAGGAACTGCCTATCATACCAGAGCATATTAATAACCCTCAATTTTTTTTTTCATTCGTTTTGCTCAATCTTTCATTTTCCTTTGTCGTGTTTTACTATGGTATTTTGTTTTTTCGCTGGTTTTTTTTGCCATGGGTTTGTCTGCCTTTATTGGAAATCTGATTTTTTTTATTGTTCCTTTGATATCTTTTGTCATTCTTTCATGAGATATGTGTTTTATAATCATACTTACCATTATGATTCAATATATATATATAAAAAAAAACTAGATACAATATAGCAAATTAAAACCTCTCATAGACTTTTGATATTTCGTCTTATGACGTGCTCTTGCTGAAGTTAGCTTCAATTTTGTTTTATCAAATTGTGTTCTATAACATTTCATTTGTTTATCATGTATATATATTCTAAGAATATTTAGTATAAGTATATATATCATACCGTTATACTTGGTATTGGTTGATCAAAAGTAATAATTGCCTCCCAACCGTTCAATTCTTCCTGAAGATTCCAAATGAGATGTGCCTCAAAATTATCATCCCAGTTGTGCATTTTGGTAAGTGTCGTAGTCAGGGTTGACACAGCTGCCGTAAATGACGGAAATACTAGTAACCAAGGCAACAACATGGTTTCTATTAGAAATATTTATAAATATGTATCATGCATTATGGTTAATCAACTCTGTTTTCAAATAAATTGTTTTTTCTGGAGTTCAGAATTGAACAAGATTCAAGAAATCATATTATTTGATATTTTATATAAAAAGTTTAATAGTGGTGAATCTATTGTGATCTACTATGAGCTACGTCTGCTATCAACAAACTTTTATATATTTACACATAACATGCAACATACATTGTTTTTTTCAAAAAGTTAACGATTTTAGCATCAATGTTTAATTTCTGAATACAAACAATACATTTACAATATGTTCAAAGTAACCACATTGATGTGTACTCTTGATTAAACAGGATAAAATGCTCAGTGGGACTTGCTGTTCATCCTGTTTTTAAAACTTCCATAGATATTTATGTTATTTTCCGTTTATGCACGTATCTATATATAAACAGAATATTATAAAGTTTTTTTTTATTGCTACTATTGCCAGTGAATGATTGTCTTCTGGAGATAACAGTTCTACAAAAAAAGCTACAGTCATCTGTCATCTAAATTTTTCACTTTTCAGTGTCTTCGCAAATATAACACTGACCAAGCACTTACGTTCAAAGCAACTATGTTCCTATAATGCCATTTCTATTTTTAAATACTGTATTGATTATTTTATATGTGTGATGATCATGGTCATGAAATGACACAATGAATACTAAATTATTTGTTAAAAAACACATTTTTATTCAGCCTACTTTATAAACATTACACTAGTGATAATTTTGATAGCTGGTAACGTGAAGCAACATTTTTTAAATTCCAAACTATAAAGTAATATTTGGACAAGACATTTACTTATCTTTGCCGTGTTTATAATTATATGTCAGCACGCTTCAATTCGTTATACTTAATTTAGTTTGGACTAGTATGAAAGATAAGATTTCACATTTCTAACCTGATTTCTGAGGCATGTTGAATTGACTAATAAGTACAAGTGAACTTGCTAGAAGAACGAATATGAGCATGCATTTGACAATTCCACAAAATATATAGCCAGTGTATGCAATACTGGTGAAAAGATCATTATTGGAGTTCATAGTTTGCATACTGAATAATACATTTGCATGAAAAAGAGATCATTGCCCGTAATAAGACTTTAATTTTGGAGACGTTTGTATATTATAAAGTGTGACATTTTACAACATAATTTCTTTGCTAGATCCAATTAGGTAATCTGTTAATTCTGTATGTTATTATTCGTGTTATCGTCGGATTTATATTTCCATTAGTTGAGCTGAAACTACTGATTACTTTTTCTTCGACAATTTGCTCTTTTGTATCTTTTCTATCAAAATAAATTTTGATTGAATCCAACTTGGCTTAAGTTTTAAGAGTACATACATGTTTGGATCATTTACAGTGATACTTTATCATGAGTTTTTGTTAGAAAGCCATAAAAAGATACCATTTTGAAATCCTATAAAATCTATACAGACCTGAGATGGTTATTACAATGAAATAAACACACTGTTATTTAATAACATGAACATTACCAATTTTACTGCACAATATCCGCATTCGGACAATAAATGTCTCTTAGGTAGTGGTTGAGGCCAAAAATATTTCAAAATCCTACATTAATTCAGAAATTGAAGAATTGATGTTACAAAAAGGACAAAAATTATAGCCTAAGCTGGGTGCATCGATATAAAAGAGATATATAACCTACAATTTTAAACTTGCCTGAAGCCGATTATAAATTTTAAATTTCATGCGTCCGAATGTAAAGCTTTATTTGCCGACCCTGAATCAAAACAAATAGTTTCACAGCATCCACCAGAACACTATGATTGGATAACAACATCTTACACAATGGATTCAACCAATGACATGACGTTATTCTTATATTGGGGTACGAACTATGAAATTACCCACAATACCAAAGATTTTGAAATAGCGAAATATAAGCAATGGAAAAGATTCTGAATGTTTTATCGGTACAAGACACTTACCTAAATCTACCGTGCTTACAGCTAATTTTCAGTACAATAAAAGTCGTGTAATTTAATTCGATATAGGTTATCAGATAAGACGACATATTTCTTATCCTTGACCTTTTGAAGCATCACGTTCAATTGACTTGGTACACCTAAGAGCATAAGAATGAATATACTTTCATAAGGTGTTGGTGAACATAACACAGTTTGACTCAACATATAGCAACACTGAGTAATGCATATCAATAGAAGAGATGATATTTTATTTCACTACAACAGTTGACCTAAATTTTGACTTTTCCAAATTTATATATGGAACAGTCGTAAAAATAGTACTTCATGTAAATTGTATAATCTGTGAATTCTATATATAACTATTCATGTGATTTCTATATTAATTTATATACAAGACAATCAATGCGTCATTCAAACCCATAAGTTGAAAAATACCGAACATCATGGCAAAATAAAAACAAAAGACAAACAACTTTAAAAATACCAAACATCATGACAAAAAAAGACAAAAGATATACAACATTCCAAAAAACACTACGCAAACAAAAACAACGAACCCAAACGATCAAATCAAGTGCCTATTATAAATAAACAGTTTCTGCACCACTCGTGGAACTTGTCGTATTACGCATGCTAACGGAAAATCCGATTATACGTCGTATTTCAATTCATCTATGAAATAAGATATATGTTACGTGTATGTTGGCCATTCATGTTGATGGAGGAAAGTGAATAATTCATTTTTTAAAATATATATCTTCGGTTGGTTGTTTTCGTCGGATACTGTGGCTTGTTTCACTAATAAAAACTGGTCGCTATAATATAGCCAAGGGCTCTTAAAGTTGAGTTTAACACCAAAATCAAAATGTATTAGGTTATCGTTCGTCTTGAATTACCACAAAAGTAACATTTAAAAGGTAACAGTTACCACAACACTTTCTAATATTTTTTAACATCTCATCTGTAAATATAATGTTCCTCATGAACATTAATATGAGACGGCATATATCACCGTACCTTTTACTGTAATACCTTAAATAGAACAAAACCAATTAGAATGATGACTCTTAACTCGGGCAAGTTCTTCCATCTTTCAACAATAATGGCTACAGGCGTGATACATATCAATTAATTTGGTTAGAAATGTTCTTTGGTCCGATGGTCTCCTGATTTTAAATGCTACGTGACCTCTCATAAATACTGCCGATTTCTGTAAAATTGTATGATGGGATTTATTGATAAGGATTGCCAGTTTTCCCGCCTGGAAAAACTCCTGGAACTCCGGCTTCCTCCACCAATAAAAACTTGTCGCCACACAATAGCCAATGGTACTGAGAGTGGCGTTAGACACCAAATAATAAATTATCAATCAATCATGAAACTGTTGGGATTGTTGTTTATTCTTTTTGTTTCTTGTGCACCAGTATTCAGTTTCCAGTTTACTTTAGCTAACTTCTTGAAGTAGCGAAAACATTTTGACCCGTCTGTTCAAATTTGGTTAAATCTTTTAAATCCTTCTTCAAGTACATAAGTCATGATCCAGTCACTAGCTGGACTAATCAGTAGTCAGGAATATGAAAGATGTTTTCCATTCGTTCGATGTGTTTGCGCTTTTGATTTTGCCATTTGATAAAGGACTTTCCGTTTTGAATTTTCCATGGAGTTCGGTATTTTTGTTATTTTACTTTATACAGGTTTGTGCTTTTAATTTACGACTTATGGTAAAGGCGGGGATTTGTGCGCATGTAAAACTGGTATAAACCCGCCACATTTTTGTCTGTACCACGGCAGATTATCTGAACAATGTGTTTTCCGTTGTTGTTTGTCTTTGCTGTACGTTTTTATCTGAGGATGAGATCGATAGACCTAATCTAGTTTTTATATATATGCCAGAAACTTTTAGTGTAACTATTCTTGGCATGTTAGTTGAATGTTGAAATCGCCCGATACAGATTGTAAACTTCATTTCAGCAGACACTTAAAATTATGTTTGGTAACATTTGACTCGGAAGTTTTAGAGGAGAATATTTTTGAAAGGTTAACGACGACGGATGCCAAGTGATGACAATAGCTAAAATGGCTCACACGGGGGCGTTGAATAAGGTTGATTTTAAAATGTATTAACTATGATATCTTAAGATCACTTGAAAAAAATTCTATAATAACACTATAATAGACCCTCCATTGCAATAAATTAAAAAAATTAATTTCCGAATTCTCAATGTATTTTGTGGAAAGAATCTCCAACGATTTTTGGTAATTCTGCTTCAGCCATCTGCCATTTTAATTCCTTTTGCTAGTGGAATGAAATAGGGGGTCCGAAACATTTGGTCCTGCGATTCCCTGGTGAGTTCTATCATAGAACCAGGGCGTGCATGTGCACTGAAATCTGCAACAAACGTTCATATTTCTGATAGTCTCCCCTTATCGACTATTTCAAACTTATATGCCATTGTTCGTCTGCTAGAGTTAGTGGGTATTTGTATGATATTTATTATGCATGCAATTGCCACAAGATGCTAAGCAAGAAACAATCAATTAATCTTTTATGCATGCTTACGTCAAAATCATCCCTTCAGCTTCTAAACCATTCACCGCCTCGGTTCGCCTCGAGAGCGGAAGGTCGTGGGTTCGTACCCCGGCCGGGACAAACCAAAGACTTTAAAATTGGTATTTGATGCTTCTCCTCTAGCACGCAGCATTTAGGAGTAAGAGCAAAGACTGGTCGACTCGGATTCAGAATAATGTGTCCGGTTAAGCTGACATGTCTTCCTGCGTACTGCTACCTTCCGAACTAGCACGTTAAAAATCCGGCTCAACGTTTCGGTCTAGTACCAAGCAGGGTTAATATTCATATTACATTAACATGTTTTCGTCCTGAATATGCATATTAATTTGGCGCTGGATGTTAGCAGCCATTCATCATCGTCATATCTAAACAATTCATATTTTCAAGAAACTTTAATGATCATAAATTTCGCTTACAATCGTGACTAAAGTCC